ATGTGATACAGGGTAAGAGCCTTGCTAATTTGGATTTAAACAATGGCAGATCCAGACCTTGACGTTATGGGTGTTATTTTTGTGGTTGGTTTTGTTGTCGTACAGCGCTTCTGCACCAGTCCCAAGTGAAGCAGAGATGCCCTGTGATCCAATCATGGCAGTCATGGGCTTTTCTGAGGCCCAAAATGAGCTTCTCTAATGTCAGCCAACTGAACTGATGTCATCGTGTTCCTGGCTCGGTGGGTCCTAGGTGAAGAGTTTTTTAAAAATATTTTTACTCCTCGTTGACTCTGAAAACTCCCCACAAATGTGGGTTATCTTACTCATGCATCACTGACAGTAAATGTATGAGTATAGCACTCCCCCATAAAATCTTGCCCTTGACTACACCTTTTTGGTTTCTTTGAAGAGCAAAGATGTAGCTTCATGTGTTGTTCTTTATTACTGCTCTGAAAGTGGAGGAGAAAGAGAGGACTGGGGAAGCTGTTCAGACTTGGCTTTCCAAGGGAATGTGAAAATGCTGTGGATGGGTGGTGGTATTCTCCTAAAGACTTATGTTTCTCTTTCAAAACAAAACAGTTCAATGTGCTATTTTCATTGTTCCTGTTTCTTTGCCATGCAATGTTTCCAGGAAGGCAGCATTTGTTTGGAAGAGTGTATGATAATGAAAACATCTCACTGCTGTTTGGGGGAGGAGTTCCCCATTCTGGCTTGTTGAGGAGGGGGGTTGTGAGTACACCAAACTCTTCCATACCCACTAAGGTGCAATGAAAAGCCAAAGTTACAGAATCATCTCAATGGTCCAAGGACTGTGCGAGTCATTTGTGCTGCCAACTGAATTTAGTGTTTTGAGGAAAGGCCATAGAAGTATTTTTTTGGCTCCCAACAATATCTAGACACCAGAGAATGTTAATAGTTCAGGGGTGGGATGTAAGTTCTAGTGGAATTGGTGAAAGATTTGAGGTCTGAATTTTGCAAGCTTTAAGAGCACAGTTTCTCTCTTGCTCTGCTTCCAGGGTGTCCATCCGTCCAGGCTGGCTGGGTCTGAGCTTTCATTGACCATAACTTGGAAAACTGGGTAAAGTATGCTGCAGCCTGGCAGTATAGGGCTGAGCTTGGACTCAGGAGAGTGGGTCCTTGGTTCCTCTGTCATGTGCTAGGGGTTTGTGTTGAGGAGAGGAGCATGAACAGCATCACATATGCTAAAGAAGGGGCACGGCTTGAACTTGGCTTTGCGAAAGCTCCAGCGTCCCTCGCTGTCTGCAGCGTCCCTGTTCCAATTCAGACCAAAGGGAATACAGCCATTCTCACTCACCAGGACTGTCAGTTAGGGCAACAGCTCTTTTGCTTCTCATCTGAGCAGTTGTGACCCAGAAATCCTTGAGGAAGAATAAATAAGGAACCCACCTTGCCACTTCTACTGAGTCATTTTTTTCTTCGCTCCCCCCCACCCCCACAAAAAAAACACTCTCTCTTAAATAGCATCATTTACACTTGGGAGCCGCTTGAATCTACTCTGTCACATAAATTACCATCTCTGAACTCGGCTGTCAGGAAGCGTCCTCATGAGTTGACATCCATGGGGGGTGTCAGTGGAAGGGGATCGGTTTCGTGGAAAGCAGGAGGAATTCAAGCGTCAAGCGAATATGCTCGTCCTCACCTCACCTCAAGCGCCGAGGGCATCTCAGTCCCACTGGAGGCGAGCCCCGGCATGACCTTTGCTCCTCAGACTGCCCTTGTTACCCTTCACATCGGTAGCTGCAAGGCCGGGTCTGACATCTGGAGCAAGCCCTGCATCTCAGGCAATTAGAGCCTGAGGCTCTAAAAGGAGTAGGGACTTCAGGGATATTACAGTTTCCTTACAGGGATAAAGGCCACCGGCTTTTCTCTCTGCTCTGCTGCTTTCTCCGGCTTTGATGCTGCTGCCATTGAAACGAGATTGGCCCATCTGGTAGCAGAGTTGATGAGCTCTGCCAGACGGATCTGACTTGCTGGGAAGGGTTCAAAAGGCAGCACCTACCCTTTGTTGTATTTCCTGCACGCTAACGAAGCCCCTGTTTTCTGGAGCTACTTTTTATCCTTGTTGTATGTTGGTTTTGGCATGAATGCTTTTATTCCTCCCATTTGAAATAAGCGGGGGAACAAAGTGAATAAAATGCCAGTTCCCCTCCCCCCTAAAAAAGAGGGTAATACAAGGAAATTGCAAGGATGCATTGTGGTGCAAATGGTTGCAGTTGGTTGCTGCCAGGAGTGGAAACATGGAGAACTGAAGCTCTAGAGTGTCAGTGGCTGGTTCCTGTCTGATGTGTGTTATCCTTTGGCGGCGTGCATGGGAGCCTCGCTGCAGCAGTATACAGTGCTCGGTGTGATGTCAGCCCTGCGTGCACACGTTTTTGGCTTTCCCTGTGGCCTCATGGAGAGGGAATTTTCAGCAATCCAAACATTGACAGAACTGTATTTGTTGACTTGCAGAAAAGCCTAACTCATCCTCCTCTGGCCTGTGATCATGTCAGCTGAACTGCGATGACTGCTGCCTGTGCTTGCTGGCCTCCCAGCCCTGATAAACCTGTGAAGCAGATTCATTTATTTAGGCCCTGATTCAGCAAAGCACTTAAGTACACGCTTCAGGTTTTCTTCTTTCCAGTAAGATTGTCAGCCTGCTCAAAGTTAAGCATGTGCTTAAGTGCTCTGCTGAGTGCACAGCAAACAAGTGGTGGGGGCAGTGTGTGCTGCTGCTGTGCTCTGCTGGTTGGCATGCAGGCTGCAGAATTCAGGCTCCTGGTATTAAAAATTTATTCACTTCTTTGGCTCCCCCCAGTACAGGAGCCCTAGTCCCAGAGTCTGAGACAATAGTCTGTCCTTCTTCAGGAGGATGGGTTGGTTCTGAGGCACAGAACATTCCTTGTGTCTCGCTCTTGCGCATTGAACAGACGAGTGTGCTCTTCAGGGTGTGGGGCAGGAGGTTTTGGTTTCCATCGGCAGGACATTGGCAAGTATTTCTTCAGAGTTTTCTGTTTGCTTTTTCCCCCTTCTAAGAGTTGTAAAAGAAAAATATCAACCATGTTACATGTATGTGAATGTCTTGATATTTGTAGCTTAATGTTTTGTAGGATTCATTTGACTTATCTTCCATTAACACGATTCCCTTCGTCTTGAGGACTGAGCAGCTTATTGCAGGCATGTACCTGTGTGTCTGTGTGCACGTGTGTGCTCCTGAGTTACATGGGTCAGAGCAAAATGAATATTTGGTTTGATATATTCTTTGGGATTTCTCAAGGTAGAAGGGCTAGGAAGTAGCAGGTGTTACTACACTGTTTGTACATCTTGGTGTAACTGTGTGTTAAGTTCAGACCCACCATATTCAGGCTGCAGCGTTAACAGACTCTCGCTTCCCTGGGAGTCTGAAGCTGTGGAATAGGCACTTAATCCACAAGATGGTTGTATTTCAGCCTGCTTGGAGCAGCTCCTGAGAGAGCATTCTTTCTAATCCCCACCCATATCTGACCTGTTCTAGCTCGTTTTTAAGGGCTGCGCCCAGCCAGTCCCTAGCTCCCTGCAGAAGGTTTCCGCACATCTTTTCCTGCTTGCTGAACTCATTCGGATGGGGAGCCCACACATCAGTGAATGGGATTCCTGTATAAATTTGCCCCGTTTGCAAAATTGGAATTGATTTAGAGCATCTCTATTCCTTACGAAACCCAGAAGACATGTGCATGGCTAGATGTGCTTTTTTCCCTTCCCTTTGAAGTTTAAAGCATGCTTAGCAAATCTGATGTTTGCAGTCTCTGTTCCCCACCTGATGTGCAAAAATGCAAAAGGTCCTTCCAGAAGCATGGGTCAGACTAGCCTTTGCGCTGATGCTGCAAGCGGGATTACAAGGATCTGGGCCGGTTTTGTTATGAACTCGGCCCTAACTAGCCTAGAGAATACTTGCAATGTAGTTTTAAAAGAGTGTTGTTTTTTTAACGTGAAATAATTTGATCTGTGAATCAAACAGCCTCTGTGCCCCACCCCCTGCTGCTGATGACAGCCTCTTCCCACACTACTTCCTTGGTAGCATTGTTTGACTGTTCCAGCTCCAGTAGGTTTCAGTTACTGATCAGTGTAATTGCAATAACACACCAATAATAAAAGAGGAATTTAAGCTTCCTTTTCTTGTAGTTGAAGGCTCTTCTCCCGTGAAAGCTTGAAGTCTTAATAGCAGTCACACGAGCAACATCCCGCGCCTGTCAAGTGTTTGCAAAACTGGGCAGCCGTACTTTAGGAAGATAAAGGGCTGGATTTTGGGAACTTGGAAACAGCCCAGTCCTATCAGGCGGCACTGGTACAGCTAATATTAGAATGGGAAACTCTAGGGACAGCTTAACATTTTAGTGGATGCCAAGGAAGCCTTGAATAGGAATGCATTGAAAGTTGCTTGTTGTATAACACGAGTTGCTGGATGGAGTCAAGAGTAATTCGAGTTGCCTTTAGTCTGGTGGAAAACTACAGCTGTGAGCAATGAGTTAATTTTTTCCGTGTGTGTATGTGTGGCTTAGGTTTCCCAGTCAGGTTTGCTTTTAGTTTTGTAGGCTCTGAATCCATAGAGGAGCAACTGCGACCCAGTCGTTTGTCTTCATGTGCCACCTCAGGCTGCTGCTGCAGCAGCTCTGCAGCTAGCGATGGGTTAAATAAAACACCTTAAAAATGCGAAGTGGTTATGGGGCTGAGCTGTAGCAGCTCCTTCTGCTCTGTAGACAAGAAAGCTACCGGCTGCTCTTCCTGCCTGAACGTCTCCTACAGAAAGGGGAGTGAGGGGGGGGGCCATAATAATTGGGGAAAAAAAAAATAAAAGGACGACTAAAGAGCAAAATCTCCTTCTCTAGCCTGGGAGTGCTGCTTGGCGGACGCTGCAGGCCCTGCGGGACGCCTTGCCGGGGGGCGGCCGATGGGCTCGGCC